TGGCATTGGGGAACACCTGGGGACACTGGGTGGCACTGGGGGACATTGGGTGGCACTGGGGGTGGCACTGGGGGACACTGGGTGACACTGGGTGGCACTGGGGCCTGGCACTGGGGGACACCTGGGGACACTGGGGGACACTGGGTGGCACTGGGGGTGGCACTGGGGGACACTGTGATGGCACCAGGTGACACTGGGGGACACTGGGTGGCACTGGGGGACACAGGGTGGGACCGTGTGGCACAGCGGGTGGCACCCAGTGTCCCCAAACGCCACCCAGGCGACGGGGGAGAAGCGCGGGGACAGGGACGTGGCACCCCTGGGTGGCACCGGTGTGTCCCGCAGGGTCCCCAAGTGCCACCCCCGAGGACCCCCAGGTGACGTACGCGGAGCTGCCGGGCCCGCGGTGGCACCCGGGGGACAGCGGGGACTACGAGAACGTGCTGTGACACCGCGGTGGCACCGGGGGTGGCACCGGGGGTGGCACCGGGGGTGGCACCGGGTCCCCAAGTGCCACCCGGGGGACAGCGGGGACTACGAGAACGTGCTGTGACACCGCGGTGGCACCGGGGGTGGCACCGGGGGTGGCACCGGGGGTGGCACCGGGTCCCCAAGTGCCACCCGGGGGACAGCGGGGACTACGAGAACGTGCTGTGACACCGCGGTGGCACCGGGGGTGGCACCGGGGGTGGCACCGGGGGTGGCACCGGGTCCCCAAGTGCCACCCGGGGGACAGCGGGGACTACGAGAACGTGCTGTGACACCGCGGTGGCACCGGGGGTGGCACCGGGGGTGGCACCGGGTCCCCAAGTGCCACCCGGGGGACAGCGGGGACATCGGCGAGGCCGGGCTGTGACACTGGGCTGGCACCGGGGTGGCACTGGGGACAGCCAGCCACGTGTGTCCCCTCGTCCCGTGGGTGCCCACCCTGCCCGTGGCCACCAGGACCTGTCCCTGTCCCTGTCCCCTCCCCGTGGCCACCGTCCCTCTGTCCCTCCGAGCCGCAGGAATTTGGGACAATCCCAAAAATCAGCCCGGAGGGACCCCGAGTGACCCCCGGGGGGGTTTGGGGACAGCCCTGGGGGTCCCGGGGGGGTTTGGGGACATCCCTGGGGGGGTTTGGGGACATCCCTGGGGGACCCAGGTGGGTTTGGGGACATTCCTGGGGGTCCCGGTGGAATTTGGGGACAGCCCTGGGGGTCCTGGGGGGATGTTTGGGGACATC